CTCATGCATGGCAGAACTTTTGTGCAAACACCACACTAAACTCAAGCAGTGTTCTGTTTGAGACAGCTTTTGCAGGCTCTTCAAATCACAAATTGTGCCCTGCCTTTTCTCAGTCAGCTGACCCTTGCATTGCTAGGGCACAGAACTCTGAATCAGGCAAGCATGTTGGATTTCCCCCTCCCCCAAGAAGCCACGATTCCAATACAGAAAGAAAAGCCTGAGCTGGAGATGCAGAGCAGAGCGGAAAGAGACTCCAAAGATGAGGAGGACTTGTCTTTCATCTAGCCCCGGGTGTAAGTTCTGGGGCAGAACAGGACCAAAAAAAACCCCCTTAAGGGGGCTCCAGGTCCTCCTCCAAAGTCTAAAATGGGTCCTAAATTCCCTGGGGAATAAGTAGGAGACATACTAATCTCCCCTTCTTCCCAGCATGAATCAGGGAACTCCAGTAATGAAAGCCTATCCCCCAGGATGCGGAAATGGGAGCCAGAGTGGAAGAACACTGAGGGAGACGTATCTAGAGGTCTCAAGGTGTTGCATAAAGTGAGACACATAGGACCATACCCGGCCCACAGCTGGGCAGCAAAACTTACCAAGTGGGCCAACAAAACTAAAGAAGTCCAAGAGGAGCAAAAAGTAAAAGAAAAGAGGTGTTTGTCCCCTGACTCAGATACATCCTTTTGTGCTGAGGAAGGGGAGCTCTCAGATTGAGGCTCTGAGCAGGACATGGGAAAAAATGTAACAAAAGTTTCTCCCCTCTGAAATGTTTGGAACCATGTGCAAAAAGATTGCATCTACAATCCATATCCAACTTGAGTAGACACTAGACGACAAGCATACAGTGAAATACCTGCCTTCTAAATCCTCACCTGAGACAGCAATCTGATTGCAATCATCCTTTGAGGATGTGATCAGAGAGGAATGGGAAGGTTAAATACATAAGCAGGCATGCGCTTAGATATTTCAAGTTGGAAGAGTTAAAAAAAATTCACATTACAGATATTCTAAAGGTAGATTCTGCAATAGCATTGCCAGCAAAAGATATGGTAATTCCATCAAAAGGGGATTTCTTTCCCAAAAATCCAGATGATAGAAATGTGGAAACCACCCGTAGAAGGGTCTTCGAGGCTTCATCATCCACCCTTAATTGCATCCCTGGAGACTGCATTTTTCTCAAGAGCCACAATGTACTGGCTGGGTGACCTAAAGGCTGTGAAGGACAGAGACCATCCTGACATCTGGTCTACACTTAAGAAAATGTTCCCAGCAAAAGCTTTTGTGGCAGCTGCCTCAGTGGATGCAATGAGATTTTCAATCAGTGCCATGACATCTAGTTCAGCAGCCAGACACCACGTCTGGCTTCACCCCTGGCAGATAGATGCTCACTCCAAATGAATTCTGTGCCCATCTAAATGGGGAAAATCTCTGGGGAAAATCTAGGCAAAAGAGTGGCAGAAAGTGGTGCCAAACTGAAACAGTCCATCCCCACTCCAATCGGTGCTCTAAGGAGGAACTACAAATTTTGCCATAGACAAAAATGTTCCTTTCATCCATCCATCCATCCTCAGAAAGGTACTAGAGGAAAGCTTACAGGTATACCAGGGAAAACCCTGGAACTGGGGAAGGGGTGCAAAAGTCTCTGAGAGCCCACTGTGATACAGTGAATGTGTTTCCACCAAGACCGGAATCTAGGAGGCAGAAATTCCCACTTCTCAGAAGAATGGTCTTGATTGACCACAGACAAGCAGTGTTTAATTTGTGTTAGGGATTACCAAGGCTAAGCCCCGGCACCTTGAGGCTCAACAGTTCATAGCCCAGGCTCCTCTGAGCTTGCTGCATCAGTTATGAATGTAAAAAAATTGCTTGAGCTCTGGCACCTAAATGCTTGAGCCCTGGCACCTCTTTCATTACAAATTAAGCACTGCAGACCAGTGAGTGAGAGAGGGAGTGAGTCGCAGATACTCCCTCAAACTAACGACCCCACCACATCTCTTCTTTATCCAATGCCCCATCTTGAACAACCACATGGAACGTGAGCTGATGTTAAACAAAATCTCACATCTCCTGGATATAGGAGCAATAGAAAGGGTTCCCTCAGAAGAAAGATTCTTCAGACTATATTCCATTTTTGTCATTATTCAGAAGCATATGGAGGGAGTGGGGCAGTGGGAGGGGGGAAGGTTAGAGTATTCCTGGATCTCAAGTGAGGTCAGCAAATGGATGAAGTAAACCATTATGGATGGAGACTAGCTTCAGTGGTAGCATCCCTATTCTTGCTGCTTGCTTCTGCAACCTTTAAGTACTACAAAGCTACATGTTTTTTTCAATTACCATGATATTTTTTCTCTAACTTGAATCTTATTCTTTCAATATACTTTTCAGACTTGGCATTTTGTACTATTTGGACTAATGCATAAGGAGATGGAATAAAATATTCATATATGGAAGTGTTTACAGTCAAAGTGTTTGTAGTACAGACAGGGCGAGCCCACTAGATGCAGAGAAGAGTTTATAAAACAGATTTTGCCTTTGTATTTCCTACCCACTTTATTCAGATTCAGTGCAAACAGTCTGTTTTTCTATCAAAGACACACTCTCATTTCTGCATGGATAGAATAATATTTTAAATGAATACTCTGCTAGGAACCTCCCCAACTCTTTGCTTACTCGGGCTACAGCCTTTCCCATGAGAACTCATAAAATCACATTAGTTAATTTCACATCTAAACTCTCCTCCCTCTCTCCTTTCCCCACATATACACACCCCACATGACAATAATACACTCTCTGGAATAAGAGCTTAGCCAGGGTGAAGAGGAATTGCTTACGAGGGAAATAGAGAAGGTGATACCATGAGAGAATTTTCTGATCCTCTGGAGATAACTGGACTGAAACTTTTTTTCTCTTTGAATATAACCTTTGTTTAGAAGATGTGGAAAAGAATGTAAGTCTTACATGCTTAATACACTCTTGTTTCTTCTTGACAACAGGAAGATAAATGCTGGGAACTTTTATCTGCTTAAGAGGAATTCAAGAAGCTAAGCAAAACCTTTCCTCAAGGTGAGTAGTTTGTACAAGACGTTAACAGTGAATAGGAGTTAAAGAAAATGTGAATATTTACTTCTCATCTAAGAAGAGAAATGGCATTTTTCCTACTCCAATTTTGGTGTATTTTATGCCTGTGATTTCAGATGATGTGGATAAATTAGGGACAAAGATAACATATACAAGAAGTAGTAGATGGATCAATAATTTTGTATGTGCTCTTCTGCTGAGATACTAGATGCATGATTGTTATAAAATAAAGATTCCTTTTGTATATGTTTTACTTCAGAATCCAAGGGCCTCATACAATCTGCAATTTATTTCAATAAATTAAAGTTTGATACCTCATTATCTTATCTGAAAATGAATAGGTTTATTTTATTTCATGTTAAACTGACTGAATAACCTTTATATACTGAAAGTGGAAAAAGAAAAATCTTAACATTCTTTAGCCATCTAAACTAAAAGAGAATAAGAAAAGAAGTGGGGCTACTATGCAGTGAGGATGGGGAATAGAGAGGAAGGATAATCAAAGTATGGGCCAAAACATAAATGAATATCTTGCCTCACTTTTCAATAAGGGTGATGATGTATAACATGGGGACAAAGGCAGGATGGTGAATGGGAATGAATGTATAAAAATTTAAAATTTCCACATCTGAGGTGGAAGCAAAACTCAAAGATCTTAATGAGCTCCAGTCAGGGAGATTGTCTCCATCCCAGAATACTGGAAGAATTGGCACATGAAATAGCCAATCCAAGAACAAGGATTATTAATATATCTATCAAATTGAGGAAGGTACAGTATGAGTGGAGAATAGCAAATTCAGTACCTATATTTAAGAAAAAAATGTTTCGGGCATTTACAGGCCTGTTAATCTGATCTGAATAGCATACAAGGTTTTAGAACAAATTTTGAAGGAAAAAATAATCAAAGACATGAAGATAAATGGAAAATGGAATAAAATGTCACATGTGTTTACCAAAAATAGATTGTGTCAGACTTAATTGATATCTATCATTGATAAGATAACTGATTTTTTAGACAAGGGAAATCAGTAGATGCAATCTATCTGGACTTTAGTAAAGCATTTGACACAGTAACACATGGAAAATTATTAAACTGGAAAAGATGGGGATTAGTACATGAATTGGTAGATAGATAAGGAACTGTCTAAAAGGGAGATGCCAACAGGTTGTGCTGAAAGGAGACGTATTGAGCTTGAGGGAAGTTACTAGTGGAGTTTCTCAATGATTTGTCTTGAGGCCAGTCTTATTTAATACTTTCATTAATGATCTTGGGACTGAAAGTAGGAATGGACTATCAAAAGTTGCTAATGAGACAAAGTTGGAAGGCATTATCAATACAGAGGAGGATTAGAATATTCTAGAGGAAGAACTGGATGACCTTGAGGCCTGGAGTAATAAAAATTGAATGAAATGTAACAATATAAAGTACAAAGTCATGCAGTTAGGGACTAATAAGAATTTCTGTTATGAGTGCCTATCAGTTGGAAATGATAGAGGAGGAGAAAGACTTGGGTGTATTAATCAATTGCAGACTGACTGAGCCACCAATGTTATATGGCCATGAAAAATGAAAATGCAATCCTAGGATGTATCAGGTGAGGTATTTCCAATAGAGCTAGAGAAATATTAATGCCATTGTACAAGACACTGGTAAGACCTCATCTGAAATATTATGTACAATTCTTATCACACATGTTCAAGAAAGAAGAATTCAAACTGAAAAATATACAGAGAAGGGCTACGAGGATGATCAGAAGAATGGGGAGTCTACCTTAGGAGAGGAGACTCAAAGAGCTTTGCTTGTTTTAGCCCAGCAAAATAAATAAATAAATAAACAAACAAAAACACTGACGGGATATGATTGCTCTCTATAAATACATCAGGGGGTAAACCAGAGAGGAAGAAGAGCTATTTTAGCTAAAGGACAATGTTAGTGTAAGAACAAATGAGTACAAATTGGCCATGAATATATTTAGGCTGGAAATTAGAAGGTTTCTAATCCTCCACGGGGTGAGACTCTGTGACAGCCTCCCAATATAAGTAAGGGAAATAACCTAAACCAGTTTTAAGATGAAGTTAAAGTTTATGAACTGGGTTATATGATGGAGTTACCTGCGATAGTAGGGGACTGGACTTGATGACCTGGGAGGCCCCTTCCAGTCACATGTCCTTACTTTAGGGTGGATTTTTTTTTTAATCAGAAACTTAATTCAGTCTATGTTTTGTTTGTCAAACCAAAAACTCTTAATTGGGAGACTTGGAGGATGTTTATGGATTGTGGTTTTATCAAGATGACCTGCAGGGCAGTGACTCCAATGAGCCCAGCATTGGTGGAGAAATAAATTCAATAATGGTGAAGCCAAGAGGAAAGCGTCTGAGAATAAACTGGATAGGTGGTGGGATTTGAGCGGGAAAGTGAAGATAAAGTCTTGAAACACATCTAACTGACAGACGCAGGCCTCTTTCCTTTTATCTAGTAGGAGGGATGAAAGTTCGCAAGGTTTGTGTTTGGGGTAGCTAATGGAGCATTTATCCCTATAGTGGAGGCATGTATATATTCAGCTCACCACAGGAACAATGGATAAATCTCTGGAAAGATAGTATTAAGTGGAATAGAAGTCTTTGTCAGTCCTAACAACAAGTATACCTGTAGATGTACCTAACTTGAAGACTTTCAGAGCTGACTGTCATTGGAGCTCCTATTATTTCATAGTCTTAAGTGTTTTGTACTGCTAAATCCTGAATCGTTTTTCAAATGTTGTGATATTTAACAGATTATTTTCTGGGATGAGGGAGATCAAATGTTTATTTTTAGTCTTGGCTTTTTGCCTAGGATAAGTAAGGCAGGTGGAGACCTGGCAAGCTGGGCCTGGGGAAGCTGCAGCGGTGCCAGCGCATGCTCCCTCCCAGCCCTCCGGGGCTGGAGAGGCTGCAGCAGCACCGTGTCATCCATGCACGCCGGCCCATGGGGCCCCCCAAAGCACAGGGCCCAGAGCGGTCGCCCTGATTCGCCGTACCCTAGGGACAGCTCTGCCTAGAGCACTGGTTCTTGACCTATTTACCATTGAGGGCCGCATATGCAACTCTCTGTGTTATGTGGGCTGCATCCACACAATAGATACACTACCTGTACATGTACACACCAAAAAAAGGTTTGGTATTTGTTATATGAGAGCAATAGGATTCAAATCAATATATACCTCTACCTCGATATAACGCCGTCCTCGGGAGCCAAAAAATCTTACCCCGTTGTAGGTGAAACCGCATTACATTGAACTTGCTTTGATCCACCGGAGTGCGCAGCCCCACCCCCTCGGAGCACTGCTTTACCGCGTTATATCCGAATTCGTGTTATATTGGGTCACGTTATATTGAGGTAGTGGTGTATTACCTTTTATTTCAACGTGGGCAAATATCTATCGAGCATTTTAAATTAGCAAAATACGTTAACATTAACTATTAACATTAATTAATTTTACTGTCTGGATGGCATGGCATGATGTATTCCCACCCTGACTTCTGCGCTGTTGGGCTGAGCGCCCAGAGAGCTCGACTGCAGAGCCTGCCTGCAAAGGTGGAGAGCCCTGCCTAGTGCAGAGCTCCCTCCCATGCATCCAGCCCCTCCCCAGACTGCTCCTCCCCAGCCAGGGAATGCTCTCTATCACCCAAACACCTTGGGACTGTCTCCCCATCATCCAGACACATACCCCCAACACTGGGTTGGAACAGCAGAGACAGGGCAGAATGGCACCCCAGGGACTGTCCCTCCAGAATCAAGTCCACCATCCAGGGACTGCCCCCCAGCAACCTCCATCAACTGCCCCCAGCACCCCAAGGACTGGCCCCCAGCACTCAACCTCCCCATCCAGAGACTGTGTCCAGTGGTGCAAGTGGAATCCATTTCTTATCGGTATGGGGGGCACGTGACCTCTTCATGGGACCCTCCACATGACTCTGCCCTGCCCCCAACCCGGGACCACCACACTCTCCTCATCCCCTCCCCATAATCCATCCCCCTTACTTGGGGGGAGGGACCTCTGTCATCCTCCTGCTGCGACTTTGGAACCGCAGCAGTGAAAGGAGCAGAACGTGGGGCCACCAGGAGGCCCCACGCCCACAGCTCCTCTGGCGCAGCTGTACCACCCCAGTCCTTCCACGCAGGGTCTCCTACATCTGTACAGCAGCCAGCCCCGCTGGTGGACAGGGCTGGGGAAGTACAGTAGCCGCACCGGAGGAGCTGCCGCTGTGGGGCTGCCCGGTGGCCCCACGTTCTGCTCCTTTCCCTGCTGCAGTTCCTGGGAGAGCTCTGTGCTTCAGGGCTCTTCTGGGAACCACAGTGGGGAAAGGAGCAGAGCGCTGGCAGCTCCTCCATTGGCTGGGCTGTTCCACCCCCAGCCCTGTCCTACGGCGCAGCTGCTGCTGGGAACCAGAGGAGACGCAGCTCTGTGGAAGGGCAGGGGACAGGGCTGGGGGTTCTGTCCTGTAGTTCAGGGCTCTCCCGGGAACCTCAGCGGGAAAAGGAGCAGAACATGGGGCCACCGGGCAGCCCCACACCCTCAGCTCCTCCGCCACTGTCTTGCTGGGATATAATTGAAGAATTTTGAATATACTATATATTTATTGAATCCTGTGTGTGTTAAATACTGAGAAGTTTTTACTTAGCAAAAGTTTAGCTACCTCAGAACTCCCCATGAGTGAAAACTATATTTTAGAAATGCTTCTTCTCCCCTTGAAGTCAATAGGAGTTTTGCCATTGTCATCTGTGACAACAAGATCAAGCCTTTACTTCCTGTGTAGCACCTAACAGTTGCTCAGAGGTCAAGACATTTGCACAAAAATCTGGACCAGAAAGCACACTCTGGCTTGGATTCCCAACTCTGGCCAAGGCACCATCAGCAGGGATTCCGGAGTTCTTTTTGAACCCTACCAACAATTTTAGGCCAGCCAGGTCCTTTCTGGTCCCTATCCATATATTAGAATACTTT